TGTCGTTGCTTTGCGTCGCGTCGCCATGGCTACAGAGCGCATCTCTGTCTGCTCGACTACTCGTCCGCCGCTCTCGGCGGGTCGATGCTCTCGGCATATGAGACGATTGGGATCGTCGTGCGCCCCGGTCACTTGCCCGAGCGCAGCCGCGTGGTCACACGCGTCCGGCCGCGACGACCGTGCGTCATCGACGCCACGAGAAGATCACGGGGAATCAGCAACGCCGCTTCCCACTTCAGGGAATTCGATTGGCAGCTCGATGTAGACTGAGACGTCCAACATCGGACCTTGGCTTATATATGAGCACTCGTATTGTACTCTTGGGTGCAGGCTGGCCTTGCAGCGCCCATGAGCGGCGCTAGTGGCGGGCGCGGCGCGGCGCCGGTCCGAGCGCGCCCGGACAAACACGTGCGGCGCCTTGCGTCAGCGCCTCGGCTCTAGCGGCGGCCGCGTGCGCTCCGCCCGGCCACCGGCGTTGCGACACGGCCGCCGCCGTCCCAGCGGGCGGGCCAGCCCCCTCCCGGGTCCGCCATTGGGCCGAGGAGGCGGGAGGGTCTGGTCCGACGCCGGCAGGGTCTGGTCCGACGCCGGCAAGGTCGGGCGGCGGCTGGCGTCATTCTGCCCCCCCCCCCCCTCCACAACCCCTCTGTCTGCCGGTGGGGGATGTGATCCCGCCCCCTCCCCTCGCCGTCCGTCTGGCGGCGGCGGGCGGTGATGGGCGCCGTCTGCCGAGCCGGGCGTCGGCGCCGGCCGGGCCACGTCCTCGCCGCCGCCCCAGCCGGCTGGCCGGCCGCCGGTGGTCCGCGCCCCTCGCCGTCGGACGGCCGGCTGGCGACGAGGGGCGCGCACTCCAGCCGTCGGGACGCGGCTCTCCGCAGGAGAGGCGGCTGGCGGGTGTCGGGCGGGATCAATATTCCACACCGGCGCGGCAGAGGGCGGAGGGGAGCGAGACTGGGCAGAGTGGCGACAAAAACCGCCGGCCTACACGTCCACAAAAACCCTCAGCCTCAGTCCTGTCCGCGGGCAAAAAGGCCGCACAAAAACCCGGCCTCAGCTGGTGCTTGGGCACAAAGACGCGGCTATTTGGAGCAGGCGTCTCTCGACGCTCGTTTTTCGGCCGCTCTTGTTCTGCGTCTCCGCTGCACCTCGGACGCGCCGCAGCGGGTCTCCCACGGCCGGCGCGCCTGACCGGGCCAGTCCGTTGGTTAAGAGTCGCGGCGGCGCGCTCGGTTTGGCAACCGCCGATAAACTGTGTCGACATGTCGCCGGCCCCGCCGTTTTTTTCCACAGGCCGGCCGTGCGCCCGGCCGCGGCCGCGGGGCAACGACTTGGGGCGAAGGGGCCCGGTTGAGTAACGCTCTCTGCTCCCGTCGACGTTCTTGTCTTGGCCTTGCGCCTCGGGCGCCGTTCAGCCCGAGCGCTGGGGCCCACACCGGCGGCGTCGGACAGACCCCCGCGGGGCGGCTCGTCGGCGGCGGGCCCCGTCCCCCACCGTCGGATGCCGTCCGGCTTCCAAAACAGGCGTGTTTTCGGTCCGGGGGCGGCTCGCCGCCCTTTGGACGGCCGCCGGCGCACCGTTATCGCCGCTGATTGGTCGCCCGGGGCGCCGAGGGGGGGGGGGGGGCGCCGATCCCCGCACCCCGGCCGGCAGACAGCCGCTGTGCGTGCGCCCGGCTGGCTGTGTGCGTGAGTGCGTGAGCGTGGACTCGTTCGGCGCCCATCGCACCGCTGCCAGCCAGCCTGCCCAGCCGAGGACTTCCGCGGTCCGCTGACGCCGCCGCCCGTCTGTTGCAGGCGAATGAGAGGCCCTGATCGGGCGACGACGAGAGCCTAGACCAGCACAGCCACAGGTCAGTCTGTTGTCGCGCCGGCACCGGTCGGCGGCGCTGCCGGCGACAGCGGCTGCCGCCTCCAGCCCTGCTCAGCGTGGACAGAGCGGCTCGGAGTGGCCGCCGCAAACGGGCCCATTTGGACCAGAGTGCGCTCGAGTGCTCTGGTGAGTGAGGTGTTGGCAGTCGGCGGGTGATGCGCGGCGGCGAGAACGGCCGGACCTGACGCGGGTCGCAGACGGAGGCGAGCTGCGCCCCCCCCCCCCGCCGTCGGTTCCTGCGCGTGTGTTGACGCCTGCGTACCGCGGTGCTGACTGTCCACCACCGCGTCCCCCGAGCCTCGGCGCGGCGGGGACGTCTCGGGCGTCGGGCTGGCGGGGGCTGGTGTGCGTGAGGGAGGGGGGCGGGGGGGGGGGGGCGCCTGCGAATGGCGCTAAGGCGGAACTTCTCACGGTACCCTCCATTCAGACCAGATTTGCTACTTTATGTACGCGGACGGGTTAGTTAAGCTTTGTGCGTTTGGCCGTGCTCGCCGACTGACTGCGTCGCCCCCCGGTGACGAAGGCCTGACTCCGCGCCTGCGTTCGGGGTCTGTGCCTCGCGGTGTCCGCTCTCAGCCGGCCCCGTCCGGATGTCCCCCGTCGGGCGGGCCGGCGCGACCCTCGCGCTACGCTGCTATTATTGGCCGCCAGGAATGCTGGGGCACAAAGAGGTGGCGGCCGGGCTGAGGGGACGGCGTCGCCCGACGCCCCCGTGTGCGGTTACGGGCCGCCTCAAAGGGTCGCGCCGACCGGTCAGCGGGGGGGGGGGGGGGAAGCAGGAACAGCAGCAGCCCACGCCGGAGTTTTGAACGCCAGCGCGATGTGTTGAAAGGTCGCTGGGCTGAGCCGGGGATTAACGTGGCGCCGCGACCACTTCCAAACTTGTTCCGCATGACTGGACAGCAGCAGGCGACCGGCGGCACATTTTTTTTTCGCCCCCGGGGTTATTACGTTACCAGGAAATGTTGTGGCCGCGGTGGTTCCAGAAGGAAATTACATTTCCTCAGATCGTAAAGACTGGAGCCGCCGTGTTTGCTCCATCACTGTCTGCCCTTTTGAGCCGATCAGGCGCGGGTATTTGCGACGCGGTTGCGATGGGGTCGGAGCCGGCCCGGTGCCGGTGTTATTTTCGTCTCCTGGTCGCCGCCGCCGGTGTCCGATATCCGCGCCACATCTGCCGCAGCGGCCGCGCGACAAACAGCGGCGCGGGGGTGGCGGACGAGCGCGCGCTCGCCGCCGCACAAAGGCGCCAGGTGGTTCGGGGTCTGGCCGGCAGCTGCGCGCTCCCGTGTTGACCTGGGTCCGCCCGGACACGCCCGGCAGCTGGCGCCCGATGCGCGCGCCGCTCCGGCACGCCGGCCGCCTCCGCAGCCGCTTGTCCGGACGCGGACACTCACTAATTCAGCGGCATCGATCAGCGATCGGAAGCAGCGCCGCCGCCGCCCGGCCGTCCATTGTCCGCCGTCTGCCCGCGCGCTCGTGCGGGCCACCGCACCTGCCGCCGGCTGCCCGGCAGCTGCCCCCTCCTGCTGTCCCCCCCCCCCCCCTCCCGCCGGCCGCCGCCGGAGTCATTATCTGCTCTCGTTCACCTGGCGCCGGGTGAGCCGGGCCGCGCGGCATTCGTGTCGCGGACGTTGCTGAGTCGACCAGGCGTCAGATCGGCGGCACTGCATCGATCCCATCTGCGTAAGCCTGTTAGGCCGGACCGCCGCGCCCGCCAGCGCGCGCGTGGGTCGCCTGGTCTCGTTACGGGGACAGCGGACGCGGTGACCGGTGGCTGGGGGAAGTCTGGCCGGCCGCCACGTCCGCCGGCTGCAGCACTGGACAGGACTGGACCGGGTCGCTGCCAGAGGGCATCTATGCCGGGCCACGCCGTTCGCTGCCGCTTACGGCGGCGGCGGTACTGTGAATGAATACATTATGTAGTCAAATCTTGCGTGCTGCGTGACCCTAGCGGTCTGTGCGCCCGTAAATCCCCCCCCCCAAAAAAAAAAAAATAATGCGTTTAATGCGAGCTCCTTCCACGAACTCACCTTTGAACAGTATGTAATAGGTTCAGCTGCTTCTGCAGAAAGATCTGCTTGTTGTTGCATGCAACAGCACGAGGATACACGGCTTATAGATTATGTAACGCACTAAACCGTTTCTTGACAATGCCGTACCATAAATACATCGATAGTTTAATCAGCTAGTACGTTATTCAAAACTTGTGGTTACACATCACCAAGAGCTGAAAGATAATACCCCGTACGCCGAAGACGCGGACAGTAGTGTCCAAACTCCATCAGCTCACCCGCCTGCTTACCTACATCGCCGTTTGTTCGTTTCATCCCTCCGCCTTCGCCCGAGCGCCGTGGATAACTACAGCAGCTAGATCAACGTCGGTAGCGACCGCATCTTCGCGCGTGGCTCGTGTTGCCACACGACGAGGCATGCTAGGTCGGGCCAGGTCCGCTGACCAGCTGACCCCGGCCGCTTTCCGAAGAGAACGGGCGCGATCGCTTCCCGTTTGCAGCATCACCCTTCGCCAGCGCTAATTCATGGCGGACGAGTTTCAACACAACGCGAGCAGGCAGCTTGCAGCCCGCCCCACCGCGCCGTAAAACTAGCAGTCGACGCCGCGTCACCTCGGGCCGCGTCGCCGCCGAAAGTGAAAGTAAACGGTGCCGGGATGCGCCGTCCGTCCAACTATCCCGGCCGGCCGCAAAAGCAGGTTTCTAGTTCAAGAGCGCGGTAATTGGGGCGGTGGGATGGCGGCGGTCGCGAGCGCGCCACACCGGGCGCGGCGCCGCCCGCACGGGCCTGGCCCGGCCGGGCCGCGTCGGGCCCCGGTCACGAGGCGGCGGTGGCGGCGGCATGACGCAATGCGTACCGGCTGGCGGCCAACGGCTGCAGCGGTCGTCAGGCAGAGCCGAGGGAAGCGGCCGACCATTGGGGGTGGGCATACGTTGCGCGCCGCCGCCCCACCCAACGTGACCGCCATGCGTGATGCCGCGCCACGCGGCCGCTCCGAGCGCGCCGCGTTGCCATGGCAACAGGTCGGCTTGGTGACGTCACGCGCGTCGGAGTCGATGCCCGCGCCGCCACCGCCGCCGGCCAAAACAAAGGCGCCGCGCCGCGTCAGTCTTTGTGGCCGGCGGGCGGGGTGCGGTTGGTTACGGGGAGCGCGCTACCCCGCTTGACAGTCGTCGACTGGCTTGAGTGGGGTGAGGGTCGGGAGCGTGTCGTCTGCGGAAGTCCGTGCCACTGTGCTGTGCTGTGCTATATTGTGTCCGTGTGGCGCGTCCGACTGCCGCCGGAGTGCCATGTGACCGGCGGCGCGACGCCATGTCAACGCTTAGTGAGTATGGGAGAGGCTGCGGGAGAAGACTAGCGGCGCGGCTAGTGGACTTGTTCAGGTGGGGCGATGCTGGTCGGCTGCTTGTTCTGCAGACTAACCTCGCCGCAGCTGGGGTTCGGGGATGTGTGATCAGCATGTCTGGTGTCCAGAACACCGTGTTCTCGCGGAGGCCGCTACCAACTTGATATTGGTATCATGCACAGCAGGGGCGCAGTTTCGCAAAGTACGCTAGCAGGCTCTCAAAACAAATCGGAAACCCGCGTTCAACGTACGTCAAAAACTGATTTTTTTTCGTGAATTTGGCGCACGTTGTTTTTAAAGCTAGGCAGATTTGGGGAGGGGTCTGATTTTGGGGAGGAGCCTTTTCAACTGAATAGGACTTTACACCCCTGCCGACACAATTTTCTCTTGAAGTGTTGTGGTTCTTACTGGTCAGTCATTGCTGTGTAATATGAAATGGCCCGGCAGATATGAAAGCCGTTCGTTGCAGCGGCTCGCGCCGCATTGGGGGGGGGGGGGGGGGGGTGTAGGCCGACCGAGCACGACGCTCTGCAGTGCCCTGACAGGGCGAGCGTTACGCAACGCGGTGTGGCAACCGCATCTCGTGTGGCCGGTCTTGCGCTGCGGTCTGCGGCCGCCCGTGTGTCGAGACATCGGCGGGACGCGGCCAGCCGATCTGGTCGGAGATCGCCGAACCGCTGGCGATCATCGCCAGCTGCAAACAGCGCGTCCGCCGTTTGCGCTGCCTGTTATCCGTTCTGGCCCAGCCGGACCTTCACCGATGTCTGGACATGTGTCTCGCTCATGCTTCTGCTGCTGTCGCTCGGTGTCCCACTCTAATGCTGCTGCTCTCGCTCCGGGTTACCTAGTTTGCACAGTTCCTGTCTGTTCTGGCCCTGGCTGACATTGCTTGTGGTATGACTAGCGCGGCCCGCCTGGCGCCTCCGAGCCCCAGACAGCGCCACCATATTTGCCGGTTCCTGTGCCAAAGTCGCGGGCAATGTTAATCCTCGGGCACGCCCCAGCTGCACCGGGAAGGCCGGCCGCTCGGCTGAAGGCCAACCTCATGTGGGCCTGGACCGTGGCCGGCGGGGCCCCAGGACGACGACGGACGCGCCTCAGCCGTAACGGGGGCCCTAGCGGTCCGCTGGGGACGGCTGGCGGCGACAAATGCGGCAAACTCCCGGGAGACCGCCGCCGGCCGCTCGAACTCGCGTCGTTCGTCCCGGTCGGCAAGCACGCTTCTGGGGCCGCGGATCGCTTCTGGGGAGGGCCGGCCGCCTGCACGGTGGTGCCATCGCGGGTGTGTCGCTGCTCAGTGCGCAGCGGGCGACATGATCACCGACTTCCGTGACATGTCGGCGGCTAGCTCGTGTCGCGAATGATTGAATACATTTTGTTCAACCACATTGTCGGTACCTAAAGCCATTCAGTGCGGTGCATTCGAAAATGTCGGAAATGCCCGCCTTGGCCCATGTACGGGTGGGCGTGCTTCATACTAAGCGTGGGCTGTAGGCCAGTCGTTTGGAAATCACGTTGCCGTGACGGCTATTTCTGGGAAGGTCAGATAGGAAGGCTGTCTCTAATGTTGTCTGCATGTTAACGGGGTGCGGTGGAGTAAATTATGGTTTATAAACGATGCAGCCACAACGCCAGGGATCCCGTGGTATACAGAAAGTGTTTTTCACTCATCTTCAGGTATCTGGCAGTTGGTGTGCCCATTCCGGGAGGGGGGGGGGGGGCAATAAGGGGTTTTCGGGGATTGTGGTCCTGTAATCCTTCCCGTCTGGCGTGGCGCGTCGCCGGTGGCGTGGCATTGCTGCGAGGTCATGCGCCTCGCACTGGTAGATGCGAACCTCTGCGGTTTGGCTTACACTTCGCGTGGCCAATACCGTACAGGAACGGACCGGTCTGCTGTAGCCCGAGTACTCAGTGAGGGGCGGATGCCACCCGCACGTACTTTTGGGATGCACAGCATGACAATAGGTCATATGGAAGTAGGCTAACACCTCCCAAACTCGCACTCCTGTGTCGTTGCAGTGACGCCTGTATGTGCGCTCTGATAATTGATGTCTCGTGATCCACAAGTGGACCGTTTTTGTTCGGCAACTGCGCTATCTACCTTGTTGCGCAAATCCATGCTGAGTCCAGTAGAAATGATGGACCCAGCTCGACAGACAACAATCGTGAAAATGCGGCCAGGAATTCGTGCTGTTCAGAATGATACTTGCCGAATTCCCACGTAAAGACGCATTACGTCTGCTTGAGCGAACATGCACACAGCGCAATCTGCAAATCTGCCAGCCAGACGTTGCAAAACACGCCTATATGACTTATGGCCGACAGGATCGACTTTGCTGGAAACGGTCTGGTTTCGTCAGAACTTGGCCCAGCAACGATTGCATTCATGACGGACTGGGGGCTTGGCTTGGCTTGGCTTGGCCCCACGACGCGCCCTTCTTTTTACCTGTTAGGCCATTCACTACTCCTCCACAAACCACTGCTTTTTCCGCTCTCTAAAATGCTTCTCTGAAGACTAGGTGTCAGGAGCGTACTCAATATCAGTAGATGTCATTCTGAGTAGAAGGTGTCAGGTGTCATGGTGTCATGTGGGTGTCATGTAACAAGGCACCTTCACTGTATGTTAGTGGAAAAAGTATGGCAGAATATGTTAAGCACGTTGTAGGCTGACCCCCTCCCCCTAGACCGACTTACCCTGGCATCGCCGGCCCGCTGGCCGGTCTCCAGAACGTGCCGCGCCGCTGCTTCTCGCGACCGCCCCTATGTCTGTCTGCGAGGCGCGGGATACCGAGTCCCAAGCGGTAGCTGGGCTGGATTTGAGGACGTGCGGCGCCGATGTGCGATGTCGGGCTCCAGCACGGCCTGCCCCGCTGCCCCGCTTCTTCCCGCTGTCTAGCCCGCTCCCCTCGCTAGGGGCCCACCCGTGCCGTAGCGCCGCGCCCGCGCCCGCTGCCGCCGACGTGGGCGCCCGCGCTGTCAGTCAGGCTGCCGCCGCAATCTGTGCACATGCTCCGCATTGAGCGGCTTGTTGACAGCGCGGCCTTTGTTTCGTCTCGGGGCGCCCGAGCCGGAGGCGGGCGTGCTCAGGTCCTGAATGCGGCTGATTGTCCACGGTCGTCGGCTCGGGCACTGCATTGCGTCCGCGGGAGCGTGTTTGCAGCGCTCTCCATTGAGCCGGGTCTGGCCGATCGCCGCTCGCCGCTCGCCGCTCGCCTCGCTCCCGGCTGGCGAGGCCTGCGGAGCCGGCCGGCTGGCGGTTTGGCGTGGTGCCCGGCCAGCTGGCGGGCGTGCTGCACGAGCGCGGACAGTCCGGCGCGGCGGGCCACCCTTCTGGACACGCTGGCCGGCACCGGCTGCCTGAGTCATGTCGGCGGCCGCCGCCGTGTGCGGGCCGGTGACTCAGCCCTCCCCCGCCCGGGCCGATCGGCAGCGACCGTCTCCGTCGATGCGGCCGGCGCCGGCCACCCGCCGCCGCCCCGCCGACGCCGGCCGGCCCTCGGCCAACGCCCACCCGCGACCGGGCCGGTGGGCCGCCGCTGCGCCGGACGGCCGGTCGGCTGGCCGCTGTCCGGCGCGGACGCCGCGCCGCGGGAAGGGCGCGCTCAGAGAGGGCAGGGCGGCCCTGCTAGGGGCCGGGCCGGCCGGGTGGGGTGGCGCCAGATACCGTACGCGCCGGCGACATTGTCCTTGAAAGCGGTGCGGCCGGCTTTCTCGCGTTTCACGGCCAGGGCCGTGGCGCCGGCCTCGCCGCCGGCCGCCGCCGAGAGTAAGAGCGCGTCCGCCGGCTCTGGGTCGGCCGTGCGACCGCGCCGCTTTCACTTTCGGCGACGGCCGAGGTCAGCGGCGACCACATTCACATGGCAGGCCGCGCGGCGACCCGAGCGCGGCCACACGGCGCCGGACCGCCGCCGCCGCCTCACGTGCCGACGCCGTCGCTGACGCCGGCGCGATGGTGTGAGTCGTCAGCCCTGTGACCGGCCGCACCACGCCACGGACCATGAAGCGTGAGTACGCGGCCGGGTGCCGCTGTGGGCGACGCGTGCGGGTACGCCGATGGGCTGTAGACTGTTGGCCTGTGGCGGAGGCGGCGTTGGATGCGGGCCAGGCGCGTTCTGGGTATGGATCGGGGCATTCCAGGGTGACCGAACAGTTGAGACGTGAAGCGCACATAAGCCTCAGCGACGTTCTAGGAAGGGGCGTTGTTTCCCAAAACGCCGGTGGTAGTTACCCAGTTTTGATGCGGAGACTTCACGCGGCAATTGAAATCGAGAATAGTTGCAGGCAGAGACAGTCTGCCCTAGAATGTCCAACTTTGGTGATAGCGGATCGTGCCGGCTGGCGGCTCGGACTCGGCCGCCGCGCGCTGGGACGCGTCGGCCGTTAGTGCGCCGGGAGCGACTGAATGCTGCACGCAAAGGTCAACCTGCGCCGCGGATATTTCTGGACCGGTGCGCATGGCCGGGCAGCCCCAGCCTAGCGGAGAAGGTGCCTTTTCTTCTGCTTTATTTTGCTTGTTTTGCCGACGATCCCAGAATAGCACTCGCTCCTCCTCTTGGGCGTGATGGTTGCGCTGTTTCGAAACGGCTATTATTAGGCCAGGCGGGGAGAATGTGCGGGCGCCGCGGCTCCGCGAAGGACATTTGCTCGCAGACGGGATGGGCCCGGCCGGCTGCTGGGCGGAGCGAGCGAGCGAGCGAGCGAGCGCGCGGCTACCGGCGTCCTGGCCGCGCTCTGGACGGTGTCGGTGTTAGGCGGCGGGAGCGGCAGGTCAGAGGGCTCAACTCAGCCAGTCCGCGATTGTTCTCTGGCTGAGAACGCGGCCACCCGAGTCGGGCGGCACTGAACGCCGGGCCGCGGCCGGCGCCCGAACCGGCCCGCGCCGCCACAAACAGCGGCGCGTTTTTGTGGCGCGCGCGGCCGAGCCCTGTCGCCGCCCGAGGCCTGCGCCCACTCACGCTGTCATGCAGTGGCTGCAGGGGCCGGACCGGGCATGTCCGCCGGGGTCGCAGCGGACGCTGCAGGCGAGCCTGCTCTCAGCCGACTGGCGCGCGGCACCACAGCGCACGCCGCCGGGGGCGTACGGTGGCCGGGACTGACGCGCCTCGGAGATGGCGCGGCGCGCCCCAAATACGGCCGGCGGGCTGTTCGATCGGCTGCCTGTTTTGACGGCTGGCGCGGCCCGGCCTTGGGTGGCCGACGGGCCGCGGGCGGGCGGCCTGACCCAGTTCGGCCGGGTCGACCCGAGCCGCGCGCGGCTCACTTTTACCCGAGCGGCCGCCCGTCACTCGCGGCGGCGCGTGCTGGCGCTGACACCGGCGGCGGCGGCCCGGAGCTGCGGTGACTGCGCGGGACGCGTGCTCCGCCAGGTCAGGCGCCGCGGGACGGCGACGGCGATCGCGCTGTGTCTGCACGGCCCGTCTGGTGAGGGCACAGCCGTGTCGGCCGGCTCAGCAGGACCGTCGTGGCCGATGCACCGTAAAATGCTATTTAACGTCAAACGAAGGGAGCGTCCTTGCCGGCACAGCGCTGTCTGGCGCCGACGTAGCGCTGTCTGGTGCTGACACAGCGCTGTCTGGTGCTGACACAGCGTTGTCTGGTGCCGGCGCAGCACTGTCTGGTGCCGGCGCAGTACTGCCTGATTCTTACGCTGCCCCGCTGTGCGAGGGCGCAGATTGTCTGGTGACGGCGTGTTCCATCCACGTGCCGACATCCAGCCCGGACGGGGATGGCATTTCGTCGTGCCTGTGCACAGGCTGTGGCGATACGGTCCGCTAACACCGGCTCTGCGACCGGGGTCCAGCACACCTCGCGCCAACGTGCCGACCGATTGTTTCACAATAAGGACGGTAATATCACGTCTGTCACCTCTGTTCGGCAATGTCACTTCTCTGTTCTCTCTGCAAGTGATGCGGTCGTGCACTCGCAGACTCGTGCCGACTCTGGACACCCAGATTAGCTGGTTGGCCGGGACGTCCTGGACGTCTCGCCAGCCCGCTGGCCGCCACGGTCCGTGCCCTTCACGCTGCAGCAGTCACCGTGTTGGGAATCCAGGTTTCCCGGATCTCGTGGGGAGGTGCGACTCTTTGTGGAAGCATCACACGTCGGGATAAACGAAGCCGGGCTCGGGGCGGGTCCTGTCGCTGGCGCGGGCCGGTGCAGGTGAGCGTGCTGGCCGCGTGGCGGGGCTCCGGCCGGGGCGGCCCTGCGTGACGGGCAGCGGCGCTGTGGGGCCGCATACCGGCACGATTCGGCCGGGGGCAGAGGTGACCGCAGTCACCCGGGCACCGTGTCATCCGTATGGGCGGCACGTGAAACATATGTCGACATGGCATGGCGGGGCTGCGTTGAAATACTGGGGGGGGGGGGGGGGGGGGGGGGTCCAAGGCATTTGTAGGAACATGTGTTACCTAGTGCTCAAGTTCGCGTGTGGGGGAAAATTTTGCCGTCTGATCTTCTTCAGTGTTGCAACGTTCTTAGGCTCAGACGAAGCCAGGTGTGTATTTTGTACTGGATTACGTTTGATTTTATTGTTTTTAAGCCAGGCTATCGGGGAGGCATTTTCGGGACTGGAAGATCGTGTCATCTTGCTTGCTTCAGCAGAGGTCTGGGTTTTGTCAATGCTCTTAAACAGAACGAAGTTGTACAGTGCCGACATCTCGCGATGGAGACTGACATGGACAATTATACATCCTGAGCACTTCTTCGGAAATTCCGTGTTTTTTTCCTAACCGCTAATGCGGTTGACTGATTACGATGAAGTAAAAAGTGTTTTTGTAAAACTCGTAATCTTCGTTCTTTGTGCATCAGAGCGGCTCCCATAGTAATACACAGCCATCAATGCCGGTCTTCTGCCAGCTTCGTATAGCGACGAGTCAGATTTTGCCTTATACCCACGGCCTACAAAGAGGAGCTCGTTGCCGTGCCGTGACATAGGTGCGTGCTTGTTGGATGCTCAGTGGTGGCCATTTCCTGAAAACTCAAAACATATAACGGTGATGGCTTCGTTGGTCTGCAGTTAAGATGGAGAGAATGGCTTCAGGAAGCTGAGGATCCCCGAAATTTTCTACCAGGAGAAGTATTCCGTCGATGGTCGATCTTTCTGCTCAGAGCCGGCCCGTCGGCTGACCCGGTCTCGAACGAATTCCGCGTGTAGCCGGTCTTTGGGCCTGGGAGCCGCCGGCTCTTGTCTCATCACATCATCCGGTTGGTCCTCGCACCATATGTCGCCCGGGGTCACGCGTTCCGACCTGACGTTCGGGCGCCCCCGTCGCGCCTCAGCCGGGATCGACACGTGGGTCCCGTCGCCTATTCCTTGACCTTGAAAGGCGGCGGCGGAGACCGGCGGAGAACGGAGAACAGAACGGAGGACGAGCCCGGCCCGGCCCGTTGCACAATTCCGCCTCTCTAATCGGGGCCGGGTCAGGCGACGGCGCCCGGCGCCCGGCGGGTCACGCTCAGTCCTCACCGAGGTCGCGGCGGCGGCGCGGCACGGCCTTGGCCGCCTGGTCACGCCGGCCAGCGACTGTGCCGGCCCACCGGCCGGTGCCGCGTGCCTGAGCCTGGGCCCGGCCCGCGCCTGTTTACCAATACCGCTGACCTTGGCTGGACGCCTGCGTAACGCGTCTCGGCGTTACGCAAGTCGCGCTGTGGCGGCCGGCGCAGGCGGCGCGCTCGCAGATGTGACCTCTGAGCGAGCCTGGTGCGGCGGGCGGCTCGTCCGGTTGCCACGCGGCGGCCGCCGCCCGGCCCGCAGAATCGGTCGTTGCCACACGCGGTGCGTAATTGGGCCGGCCTGCGCCCGTCCGCCTGCCCGCCCTCCCGGTGAAAGTGAGCGGCGTGCGGCGGCGCAGCCACACACCGCCGGCCGCCTCGACGTGGGAGCGCTGTTTACTGGTGACGCCACGGCCAGGCGCCGCCGAATGTGTGACGTCACAGCGGCCAACTGACCCGGCGCCGGTTAGGCCGCGGGCCGCGGCGTCCAGGCCGCCAACGGTCTTAACAAAGCCGAGAGAGAGCCACTGGCAGGATCTCGGCTTTGTTAAACGCGTGGTGGGAACGAGGGAAATACAGAGATTTCTGTCGAACAAGCGTTCGTACTTAATGGTTTTTGTCGGCCTTTCTGGTGTTTTAAGCTCGTCTTCACGGGCTGAGACGTTTTTTTTGGTGGGGGTGGGGGAAGGGGCAAGGCAGTCAGGCATGCGAATCGCCACCATGCTTTTAATTACGTATCCGCCATGGCCACAACGGCTGACGAGTAGCGTTTGTAGTTATGGGCAACCGCAGATCCCGTGACGGGGACGGAATGGCCGGCGGCGATCGTCGGATGCGGGCGTCGACGTCTAGGTCCGACGCGTGGTCGGCTGCTGCGCTGGAAGGATGTGCTGGGGGCTGTTGTCAGGCTCCGGTTCTGATGCTGAGATGTCGGGCGTCGACGTCTGGGTCCGACGCGTGGTCGGCTGCTGCGCTGGAGGGATGTGCTGGGGGCTGTTGTCAGGCTCCGGTTGTGACGCTGAGATGCCGGGCGGCTACGCGGTCTGACTGGTTCGACGAGGTCCGGCCGTGTGGCCCTGGCGCGTTACGGAAGCGTAGCCGGTCTGGCCGGGCGCCATGGACACGGAGGCCTCCCACAGCCAGGCGTGCCGGCGGCGCGCTGTCGCTGCCGCCGCTGCCGCCGCCGGCGGCGATAGCGCGCCGGTTCCGTAACGGCGCTGTGTCATCAGAGCCGTCGGCGCGCGCCTGTGATGACCGGACGCGGTCGTGCCCGACACTCGGCATCTGCGCCGCTTTGGCAATCTGCCGCGAAACGGCGCCGTTGAGCGGGCGCCGTCAGCCAAGAACGCGGCCGTTGCGCAAGCGCCCAGCCTGGAAAAGGCGGCTTTGGAGTGGGTTGCGAGGCTGGCCGCTGCGCAGGAGCTGGCGGTCGGTGGCGGGGGCCGGCCGGGCCCGCCGTCGAGCCGCCGGGGGGTAACCGTGGCGGCGGCGGCGGCGGCGGCGGGCGGCGGCAGATGCCTGGACAAGGGTCGCGTCTCGCGAGCCGCGCGTCCGCGCTGGTCGTGGACGAGTCACCCTGTGTCCGGACTCCCCGGGGCGCGCCTGACAGTCGCGTCGACGCGGCGCGCCCGACGGCGGCGTCCCGCGGACGGCGTCGGCAGCGTCGCTCGCATGCCTGTCGGCCGGCGACGCGCCGTACCTGGCCCTATTACGGCGGCATCAATCAGCGGCGGCCCGGCTGGCCGGCATCGATCGCCCTGAGTCATCATGGGGCTGCCCCGTCGCGCCCGCGGCGCCAGTAGCCGACGCCGCCGGCAGACAGTCACGGACCCCCACCGTGCAGTTCACTGACGGCTGACGATCAGTGCGCGCGGACCGGCGGCCGGGGTGCTGACGTCAGCCCGCTGCCGCCGCGTCGCGTGCGCGTGTGGTATCGTACAGGCCACGTCCATGGTCGTCTTGGTTGATGACATCCTTTCCAGATATTGGGCGGGCGCCTCCAGTGAGTCTTTCGGCTCGCCGTTTTTATGCGGTAGCATGGGTCATGCGTCAAAGCCCCACCAGCTTGGGGGCAGCCTGGCGTCCGGTCCCAGCCCAGTACCCAGTCTTCCAGTCGGCGCACGTCCACACTCGGCATGTCACGTCGTATGTCAGCCAATCCACTTATTTGCCGCGCTCATCGTGAGCGTTGCGAAGCCTGCTGCGAGACGTTGCTCTGTTTTTGCCGTCGCTGGCGCTGGCGCTCAATATCCTGTGCGCGGCGCGGGTCGCGTTATGCAAGCCTTCTCTCCGCGCTGGGGCGCGGCGCGCACGGACGCGCGTGCTTTCGGAACTGTGTACTCTCGGAACCGCGCGTTGTCGGAGCTGTGTGTTGTCGGACCGCTGTCGGACAGCGCGTTGTCGGAACTCTGTCGGAACTGCGCGGCACACCCGACTGACGTGTCGCCTCTTCCGCTGCAGATAATTTGGACTTCGTAAGAATGACGACCTCGCCGTCGTCTACAAAGCTGAACGGCGCCCTGGAGCCGCCGGCGCCGAGCTCCACACAGGTGAGTTGCAGCCGCGACGAGCCGCGGCGCTCGGCGTCCAGTCGTCGTCCGGAGCCGGCAATAGGCTGCTCGGACGACGGGGACCAGGTCAGCGAGTGGATGGCCGGCCGGCCGACTCGATCCGGGGTGGCCAGTGACGAAGCTGGGAGGGGGGGGGGGGGCGTGTGACGTGTGACGTGTGACGTGTGACGCATGCCGCGTTCGGGCGATGGGGACAACCGCGGCGGACGGGCGAGTCATCGTCGCCGCCGACGACGGGCGGCGCCTGTTGCGTCGGGCGCCCCCACGTGCCGCCGAGCGCGGCGTCGTCGGCCGCCGCCCGGGGCCATTCACCGCTCCGTCGGGACCGACGCGGCCGACGCGCCCGGTACGCAGTGCGCGCCGGGCGCCGCTGATTCCAGATCGATCGCGCGGGCTGTGGCGGTGGCACGTTGCCGCGTCCCGGAAGTGGTCGCACTGTCGGCGGCCGGCTGCCGCATCGGGGTCAGCTCGGGCGAAGTGTTGTACCCGGTGACCGACGGCCCGGACCGCGACGCCCCTCCCCCGGACCCCTCACCGGACGTTGGGCCCGAGCGGTGCGCGCGGCCGCCATGCGTGCGCCGCCGCTGGACGGGGTAGCGGCGGCCCCGGCGCCCCGCCTCCGATAGCCGCCGTCCGATAGCTCGCTCGGCTCTGTTGTCGGCCCATATCGGCTCGGCGAGTCGCCGCTATCGGGCGCGGCGTGGCCGCTCGTTGGGACGCGGCCGAGCGCCGCGTGCGCCGAGGCCGGTCGGCCACGCGACCCTTTGTTTATGTTGTCGCCGGCCGGTCGACGTGCCAGATAACGTCACCCGGCCGCGATCTGCGCGGCGACGGCCGCCGCTGTGGGGTGTCCGCCCGCCGCGTGAGGTGGCGCCGCCGCCGCCGCCGCCGCGTGGGGCGCCACGGCGGACGGATCCGTCGCCTGCGCTAATGAGCACGCCACCCTGTTGCCGCCGTGCTGGAAAGGTTAGCCGGTGCGGCGCGCCGTGTTTGGCGAGCCTCAGCGGGCGAAAATAGACCGGCCGGAGCGCCTTGTACCCAGAGCCGTGCGCGGCCGCTGAGTGGAGCGGGTCCGCGGCTGCCGGGCGGCGGGCCGTCACGGGGTCGGCTCTGTGACGATGGTCGGGGCTGCTGTCGGCAGCCTGCCGCTGCGGTGCCGCACTGCACCTCTGGTGCGGCTGGCGGCGCCGCTCGGTCCGGCCGTCATGGCGTGCCGCTCGGCCGGAGATGGCGGGCTCTGCCGCCCCTCCCTCGCCTGCCTCGTCCGGCGTTCTGGCCTTGCACGCAGCCGGCTCCTACCCTACCCTACCCTATCCTATCCTACCCTTCGCCCTCCGTCCTGATCGCCCCTTTCCAGTGTCCGCGCCCTACCCTTGCTCCCTCCCAACACGCGATGCTTCCGCTCCGATCCCCCTGCCGCTTGGGCTTCTCCCGGCGACCGAGCTTCCGTTCCTGGCGGCCCATCGCGGCGCACACGCCCTCGGCGCCGCCGGCCGCGCGGCGCGCGCGGGACCCGTCACCGGCGAATCAATGCCGGTCGATGCAGCTAATTCGCGGAAGCGGTCTCGGCGCGGCGGGAGCGGCGGCCGGCGCCGAATCTGGCCGACCCGGCGCCTCTCGGCGATGACGGCCGCCCGGCGGTGGTGACGTCACACGTTGGCACACGGTTACGCGGCGCCGTTCACCGACGCGGGATGCGTGGGCCGGGGCCGGGCCGGGGAGGAGAGGCGGGAGGCCCGCTTCCTGTGAGCCGGCGAAGGCGGAGGAGCCAGGGGAAATAACGGTGGGAGGAGCGCTTCCCGGGAGTGCGGTGGAGGAGCCAGGAGGTGGGGAGTCGACGACGATGGTGGCGTCGGCGCTGACAAACGAGCGGCGCCGTCGGGCTGGCCCGCCTCCGACCGCCGGCCGTCGATACCAAAACGGCCAGCTCGCGGCCAGGTGGCGCTGGGTTCATTTCACGCGCCACTGGCCGGCTTTGTTCGTGTGTGACACGTGCCGCTCGTGAGGGGGGGGGGGGGTCTGGAAGCGGGGTCGCCACGCGCTGGCTGTTACCGAGCTCATCAGCGCGCTCGGGCTGAGTTCGGACGGAGTGCCGGCAGCTGGCGGCCGCGCCGTCGCGAGTGCTGCATCTCTCACCTCCGATGAGTCGCGGCCTATTTATCGGCCGCGTATACAGACATAAACAGGGCGTCAGGCAGCCGTCGGCGCGGACGCGGGCGTGGTCCCTGTTCGCCCGACCGGCGGCCGGCTGTCGGCACCTCGCCTCGCCTCTGTGTCGCCACCGGCTCGGCGGGGGAGGGGCTGGTCGTCGTGTCTGCCTGGTGGAGAGAAGATGGGGAGTGGCCCCCGACGGGCTCGCCGGAGGCTGACCTCGCCAGACCGGCCGGGATCGGTTGGGGCGCGAACCTGTCTATTAAAACTAGCGGCAGACGTAGTGGATAACGGCAGCTGTTTGACAAAACAAATTCGATGCGGCTAACGGGTTGTGTTTGCCGCTTTACTGCCCTCGGGTCTCCTTTGTCCAGAATGGAGCAGGCCCAAAGCTCCTTGATTTGCACAAGTGACGACGTTGATGAATTCACCGAACCTGATTGATGTATGCGCGCCTGATCCGATCACAGCCAGCACTCCCAGAGCGTAGCCAAGTTGACACAGCCCGGGCCGGTACCAGCGCACGGCCTTGGCGATCAGTCATGCTGTTTGTACGGACGAACGTGACGTCTCGGCGCACGTTTTGCATATGACGTTTTGATTTTACGGCGTAGGATGTGGGGCGCGGGGCATTCGCAAGTGGCAGGAGCCCCGCAGTGACTGCTAACCTCAGCAAAGCTGGTGAAGCTGGGCATGATCGCTCGAGACTGTTCGGGAATCAGCCCCGAATCGAAGGGAACAGAGGTCTGTTGGTGATGGCACTGGGGTCAAAGATTAGGACGCGGGGGGGGGGGGGGGGCAGGGAGTTCCTCATGAGGATAACTGTCGTTGGCGGCGGTCCATTTCCCCAGGATGGTCCATGCGTAGCGGCCCGGTATCTGATGTTGCCGATAGCTGGGTGAGGGGCGGGGGGCGGTGCCGCTTATCGCCGATAGGTGGTCCCAGTCTGAGATACCGACGACGGGTGGGGGCTCGGACCCGGGAGGACTGTCGGTGCCATGACCGGGCGCGTGATGTCCGCCCCCGGACGCCGTTAATGGTGAGGTCCGTCATGAAATTACTATAGGCGCGAAATGACTGCTGCAGTCGAAGCGCTCCTAATTCTAAACCCAAATGCCAGCATCGGTGGATTACTGGTGATAGCTGGTGACGGGTGAGACTTGGGTGCGGGCATTGGCAGTGCGGTTGGATGGCGGCGCCGGTCGGTGCGACTTCGGGTGGCGCCGCCACCGGTGGGCGTGAGGCCGTCTGACGCGCCGTCTCTCGTCTGCCGCAGGACGGCGACTGGCTGCAGTGTCTCGTGTGCCGCGGCGTCTACAAGGACCCGTGGCTGCTGCGCTGCCTGCACACCTTCTGCCAGGCGTGCTTCGACGCACGCGTCGAGAAAGAGGGCAAGAACGAGTGCCCCGTCTGCCAGGAGCGCGACGTGTTCGGCCACCTGAAGCTGCGTCCCGACTACGCGGCCCGCTACGCTCTGGAGCACGGCGCGGCCGAGCGGCGCCCGGTGCCGTGCTCGGGCGTGCCGGGCGCCGGCGAGTGCGGCCGCCCGGCCGTGTCGCACTGTCCCACCTGCGCCAAGTACATGTGCACCGGCTGCCACAACGGGCACTTGGAGGTGAGCCGCGCGCACCGCGTGCAGTCGCTGGGCGAGGCGCGCGCCGACGGCAAGCGGCCCGCCTGCTGGCTGCACGCGCACCAGCCGCTCAAGCATTACTGCACCGTTTGCGAGGCGCCCACGTGCGAGCTCTGCGCCGAGACGCACCCGGCCGAGCACCGGCGCGTGCCGCTGGACGAGGTGGCCTCGGACGAGATCAACGTCTTCTGCGCCACCGTCGACGGCCAGAAGCGCAAGGTGATGGACATGAAGAAGATTCTGGCCCGCCAGATCCGCCGCCACAACGAGGCGTACGAGCGCTGCCGCCGCGTGGTCGACGAAGGCCACGATGTGCTGATCGACGTGCTGCCAGCCGATAAGGACCAGGTGCTGCTGAAGCTGGAGGAGCGCCACCGCCTGCAGAAGACGCGTCTGGAGAAGTTCGGCGAGAAGGTGCTGCTGCTGGCCGGCGACGTGACGCACATCATCAGCGTGATGGAGCGCCAGCTGCAGTTCGGCCTCAACGGCGAGGTGCTGGCGCTCAAGAAGCCGGCCGAGAGCAAGTTGGGCGTGATGAACCGCAAGATCGACGACCACTTCTCGGCCGAGCAGCCGGTGGCGCAGGCGCTGCTGAAGAGCGGCGCTGAGATCGGACGCGACCTCATGCGCTGCGTGTACCGGCCGCAGGTGGCTGACAGTCGGCGCACGTCTCCCGTGCAGACGGTCGAGCTGGGCGCGCTCAACGGCTTCGGCAGCAGCCCGTCGGGCTCGTCGCACGGCTCTAGTCCCGAGCTGTCGCTGGAGCAGAGTCTGAGCCGCGGCTCGTCCTACGACCACGAGCTGCTGTCGGACGGCCGGTCCGGCGGCGTCGACATGGGGCTCGGCTTCGCGCTGCCCGCCGATCTGTCGGCCATGCTCAACGGCAACGCTACCAGCGAGCTGTTCTCGCAGCCGCCGTCGTCGCTCGGGCTCGGCTCCATCAGCAACGGCCACGGCTCTGGCGGCGGCGGCGGCGGAGGCGGCGGTGGTGGGGGCGGGGGTGGTGGCGGCGGTGGGCTCAGCAACGGGCACGGCTCCAAGCTGGGTGCCGTCGGCGGCGGTCTGAACGGCCTGCCGGCGCTGACCAACGGGCTGGAGCACCAGCTGCGGCTGGAGGAGCGCGGCGTGCCGTCCCGGCCGACCACCAGCTACAACGGGCTCGACATCGGCACCCACCACAGCCTGGTCGACTTCAACAGCCTGTCCGACTTCGGGCCGAGCCGCATGACCAACGGCCTGGGCTCGGGCTCCAGCGGCTCGGCCGGCTTCCCGACGGCCAACGGCAACGCCGGCGGCCTGGGCCAGAGCATCCTGAGCGGCGCCTCCGGCATGGAGCGCTCGTTCAGCGGCAGCTACGACAGCGGCTTTTCGGGCCGGTTCTCGCCCTACTCAGTCAGCCAGTACGGCCGCTGGTCGAACGGCAACGACGTGGGCGAGCCGATCCGGCCGCCGTCGGCCGCCGCTGGACAGCTGAGCCGCGGGCCACCGCCGCCGACGCCGACGCCGGCGCCGCCGCCCTACCCGCCGCGCGGACAGATACGCCGCCAGAAGATGATCTACAACGTCAAGCTGGGTGAGTTCGGCGTGATGGAGGGCCAGTTCACCGAGCCGTCTGGCGTGGCCGTGAACGCACGCAATGAGATCATCGTCGCCGACACCAATAACCACCGCATCCAGGTGTTCGACAAGGAGGGGCGCTTCCAGTTCAGCTTCGGCGAGTGCGGCAAGCGCGAGGGCCAGCTGCTCTACCCGAACCGCGTGTTCGTCAACAAGCAGAGCGGCGACATTGTGGTGACGGAGCGCTCGCCCACTCACCAGATCCAGATCTACAACCAGTACGGCGCCTTCGTGCGCAAGTTCGGCGCCGACATCCTGCAGCACCCGCGCGGCGTCACCGTCGACAACAAGAACCGCATCGTGGTCGTCGAGTGCAAGGTGATGCGCGTGCTGGTATTCGACTACTTCGGCGACGTGCTGAAGCGCTTCGGCTGCAGCCGCCACCTGGAGTTCCCCAACGGCGTCGCCGTCAACGATAAGGAGGAGATCTTCATCAGCGACAACCGCGCCCACTGCGTCAAGGTCTTCAGCTACGAGGGCCAGTTCCTGCGCAAGATCGGTGGCGAGGGCATCACCAACTACCCAATCGGCGTCGGTATCAACCTGCTCGGCCAGGTGGTGATCGCCGACAACCACAACAACTTCAACCTGACCGTGTTCACGCAGGAGGGTCAGCTGGTCAGCGCGCTCGAGTCCAAGGTCAAGCACGCCCAGTGCTTCGACATGGCGCTGATGGAGGGCGGCTCGGTGGTGCTCGCCAGCAAGGACTACCGGCTGTATGTGTACCGATACGCGCCGTCCCAGGTGCAGTTCGCGTACCCGTTCTAGGCGCGCGGGCCGAGCGACGGCGCCGCTTCGACCCGCCCGGCGGCCGCCCCCCTGTACAGAGTGTGGCTAGCCTAGCGGGCGCCGCCGGGCGCGCGCGGCCGGCCGTCGCTCCAGCACAACAACCCGACTCGCTCGCTTGCGTTTTGCTCGTTGGCCATCGCCCTAGTCAGGTTATGAAGCGTTCGTTGCGCGTCCGCCCCTGTCACCGTTGCTATTAGCAGCTTTAACGTGTTGTTGAGAGGTGGGACCGTTTTGTTTTTGTTTGCGTTGAAGCGATGATCTAACTTTGTTGCCTATTTAAGTTCCCTTATTTATTCCGTTGATATTACCGCTGGGTTGAGTTTTTTGCATTTTAACCATTTTAGCCCCGCCTCCTTTTAAACGTTTTACCGTCCCGTCTTTCCTGTGGGCGGCCTGGCCTGCCCGTGGCGCCGCGCGCGGGTGTCTGTACTGTAGCTGGGGCGACGGAGGTGCCGCCGGCCGCCCGAGCAGCGGCTGGCCGGCGGCGGCCGTCGCCCGCCCGCCCGCGCCGGCCGACCCGTCGTGACCCCACCCTCTTCTCGCCCCGCTTCTCACCTGGAAGGCTGTGTATGGACGCTGTTTGTACCTCATTGTGGCCGATCTCCGCCAGTTAAATGTGTGGGATTTTATAACGTTTTGTACTTTGCTAGCCCTCTCACAGCCCCCGAAAACGGAAGCGCGCCGGCCACGCGCGCCGAGCGAGAGGCGTGGGCAGTGCACGGTCGCCAGCCGCCGAGTCAGTGCCTCCTTTGCCGTTAAAAGTCGATGATACCGTATTTTTGCAATGTTTTCTTTTATACAAGGTGAGCCGCTGGCACCCCTCACTGTCTCGCCGATCTTCGCGCCGCTCGCGTGTGTCTCACTTTCACACTCACCCACTCACCAGCACATACACAGGTGCGCGCGCACGCGCGACGCCGCCACCAGTCGCCCCCACGCCCAGCGGCAACATTTCTTCCGAATGGGACCAGTGTTTCGAGAGGCGGGCGCCCCGGGCCGCCGCCGGCCGCCGGGGCGCCCCACTCTCCGGATCGGGCCCGACCGGGCTCCTCAGCACACGGATAGAGAAAAAGAGGGAGAAAGATAGAGGGACGGATGGAAGGCAGAGGCGACGCCCGCCCTGCCTTTCCAGAGAGAGGAGGGGCGTCCGGGCCGCGGCGGCGCCCGGCGCCCCGTCGGACGCTCTGTTCGCTTCGCTGCTAGCCGGTGGGCCGCGCGCGAGCGGGCTTGTACCCCTCCCAACCGCCGCGCCGCCACGGCGCCCACGGCGAGTGTACCATTATTGTTGAGTCTATTTTACTACGTAGTTGGTGTGTGCGTGTGCGTGTTCGGCTAGTGTGTCGGGCCGGCCGGGCCCGTGGCGCTGCTCACGGCGGCCGAGGGCTCGGCGGTGGTCGCCGGCATGCCGTTAGTGTTCTCGACATATCGCGGCCGCGGGTCCGCGCCAGGGCGGCCCCTGTATAAACACGTATTGGACATTGACGCAGAGCCGCGCGCCGGCCCCACCACCGCACCGTGCGCGCGTGCTCCGCCCGCCCGGCCCCCGCCGGCCACTATTTGTAATAACGTATTTTGGAGGTGTACTTGTATCGCGGGCTCAACTGTACTCTTGTTGTGACTTCCCTTCCCTTCGTGGTCAGCCCGTTGTGAGCCACACGGGCGGCGGTCGAGCGTCTTGTTGTCTGATTTTGGAGCTGTTTTGCGTGTTGCCGTTACCGAGTTTCGTGTTCAGCTGTTCGCCCGGGCCGGAAGTGGAGAATCAGAGACGCCAACATTCCAGCACGGATTTTAAAGTTCAAATCGCTTGGTTCTGTTACTTGTTGCGCGTCGCCGCCGCCGTCGGAGGCCGGGTTCGCCGGGCGCCTCGTACTTACCATGGTATATGTATATGTAAGGTTTAAATATATACTCACGGCTCTCTTGTTGGCCGCAGCCGGCGCCGGGGCCGTTTTAAACTCGAAGCTTTGTTACGGCGGAGCGGGGCGGGGGCGGCCGAGCGCACGAGAGCCTGGGTTGACCTCGCCACCGACTTCCGCCCCGCCCCGACCCCTTCGAACCTCGGCCCATGTTGCGCGTTTTTATGATTAGTTGATTTTTATTTTCTTATGTGTAAGTAGTACATTTTACGTCTTTCATTTGGTAATTTGTTAAGCAGTGGTTGTACTACAGTGGTATTCAATAAACTGTTTGCTTATAGCGCCGGGCGGTTTCAATGTGCGCCGACGGCGCCGGGCGGCGAGGTGAGCGACGCGAGGGGAGCTGGGACAGTTCCGGCAGATGACACACGGACAGGTCTGGACGGCTGGGCGCCGTCTGACGCGAAGGTTGGCGTCCGCTCTTGACACCAATCGCCGGCCGGAACACTAGCCTGGGTCACCAGCGTGGTGCGGCGTTGTTCACGGTCGCGGCGGGGTCGGACGCGCCGCGGCGATGACTCACGCCCGCAGCGATGACACCGATCGCACTCGAGGGGTGTGAAGACACTGATCACGCAGTGGTGTGAAGACACTGATCACACCTGCGGCGGTGAGAAGACACCGGTCACGCTCACGGGGTGCGGATACATCGATCACGTTCGCGGCGGTGTGGAGACGCCGATCACACTCGCGGCGGTATGAAGACGCCCATCACACTCACGGGGTGTGAAGACACCGATCACACTCGCGGCGGTGTGGAAACATCGATCGCGCTCGCGACGGTATGAAGACAACGATCACACTCGCGGGGTGTAAAGACACCAGTCACACTCGCGGCGGTGTAAAGACACCGATCCCACTCGCGGGGTGTAAAGACACCGATCACACTCGCGGGGTGTAAAGACACCGATCACACTCGCGGGGTGTAAAGACACCGATCACACTCGCGGTGGTGTGAAGGCATCGACCACACTCGCGGTGGTGTAAAGACACCAGTCACACTCGCGGCGGTATAGGACACCGATCACACTCGCGGCGGCGTAAAGACACTGGTCACACTCGCGGCGGTGTGAAGGCATCGACCACACTCGCGGCGGTGTGAAGACATCGATCGCACTCGCGGCGGTGTAGACACCGATCACACTCGCGGGGTGTGAAGACACCGATCACGCTCACGGGGTGTGAAGACACCGACCACGTTTGCGGCGGTGTGAAGACATCGATCACGCTTGCGGCGATGTCGGACATCGCTTACACCCACAGCAGTGTGAAGACACCGACGAATGAAAGCTGCAACAGTGTCAGACACGATTGACACGTACGGCGATGCCTAATACCGCTCATACGCACGCAATGTGGAGACGCCGATCACGCTGCAAGAGTGTCCCGCCGGTCACATGTGCAGCGGTGTCTGAGACCGCTCGTACTCACAGCGACGTCAGACACCAGCCGTTCTTGCAGTGGTGTCAGACGCTGCTTGCGCTGCCAGCGGCGGCGGACTATCAGGAGCGCAGCCACGTGATTTCGTGACGGGGTGACTGACCAAACTCCGGATTGGGCCCCCTGACATTAGCCGGTGCTCGCTCCCCAATCCCGTTTCCCAGCTTAAGGCGGTCTTCCTGGCCTCAAAGTGGCGATTTGAGATTTGAGACAGCGCTTTCGGCGACCTGGGGTGGGCTCCTCCGAGGCCTATGAGCTGAGGTGGGTCCCTGGACCCGAGGTGCTCGCCTTCTCGACCTCAAATGGATCTTTTCGGGATCAGGCATAGGCCCTTTCTGAGTCTAAACTGGGCGCTTCCCAGAACTGAGCTGGGCCCTGTACAGGCCTAAAAAAGAAGTCTGTTTCTTGTCTTAAGAGCATCTCCTTCCAGACCTGCGCTAAGCTCTCTCTCTGAGACCAGTTTGGTTCTTTTCCGAGCGTGAGATGATCTTTTTCCTTGCCAGGGATACAAACTTTCTGAGCCCGAAATAACTTTGTCCTTTGCTTTTCCAGACTGAAAGACGTGCTTTTCCTGAGCCTGTGATGGACCATCTCAGAATCTCAGCAAACCTCTTGGGCCATCAGGGATGGAGCTGGGTACAGCACCCTTAGTCATCCCTCTGGCTGCGCCCCTGTCGGACGCCCTCACGCCAAACTCACGACTGAAACCCAGAGACCGTTCAACTCTTTTACATGGCGGGGGAGGGTTATGAAGTAGCGCGCCTTTAATTGCAAAATGAGGCTGAAGTTCTGAGCTTTTACTGTCGAGCTCTTGTCTGGTAAAACCTGGACAAATGAACTACGATTACGTAAAGGCGCTCCGATTGTTGTGCATTACCACCAATCTAGGTACAATACAAATACTTCGCCGGCCCGACACGCGTTAGCTGGCAGCTGTCGGCAGCGCGAAATGAAAAATCCAGATCACGAGCGGTCCGGACCACCGGGCTGCCCTTCCGCCCCTTCCGCCAGGAACGAGCACAGTCGATCTGACGCAGCCGGGCGTTTCGGAGGCAGCTGCGGCGGCGAGGCACCCTTCCTCTCTCATCCCAGTGCGGCGGCGTCGCCGCCGCCGCCGGTGCCTCCCGGTGAAAGGCTTCGAGCCGCCGGCGAGCGTTCCCTCTCCCCCACGCGGCGAGGGGAGCTGGCATCGACCCGTTCGCCGGTCCATCTCGCCGTCCCCGCCGACACACGCACGCACACATACACCCACACCCACACATACACACGCGCGTCCAATCGCGTCGCCCTTCCCTCCCCTCTCCGGCGTGCCGCTGACCTTCGGAAGGGTGCCTCAAGGGTAACCGGCGCAGGGCGATCCGCCTGCCATCTGGTGGCCAAAGCTAGCAATTATGCGCAAACAAGGTGGCGGGCGGGTGCCGGCGCGGGGGCCCTGGAGTGTCTAGTTAGGTAACAGGGCGGAGGCTAACCAACTCAAGTGAAGGAAAACGGGATCGCGATCACCAGAGATCGTGTCGCTGGGGCCCAAGTGACCTCTGAGGCTGCACACTTTCTATTCACGTAGAAATGATCTACCTGTGATACATGCATAGAAACGTTTCATGAAGCGGGAGTGCCAAAACAAGTCTGAAGTCGGATCCTTCCAACAGCAGTGGTGGTAGGCGTGATTGTGTTTTGATCGCTTGTCAGCTGCGCCTGTTTAGCCATGCGTCACTATACGGGTTACTACTGCTCAGCCTTTCTGGAAAGTGGGGGTACCATGGCACCAACGTACCCACGGGATCCATTATATTTATTGTATAACGATTAGTTAAACGTGTCCGCCTTGAAATTTCAGTTATTTACATCAATTCACACAGGTATTAATGCATGCAATACGTTTTATAATGTAAGGCACATGCCCCCAGGAGCGACTGTGAGAGCGCCCGTGATGCAGCGCCAGCGGCCGCCACAAATGGGAATGCTTCACATTTGAAGCTATTGAGGCAAGCATCACATATGATGAAACAAGCTCACTTATAACTACTGGGATACTTTTTAAGTGGAAAAGACTGCTCAAAACAGCTCAGTTATCTGCTTGGCAAATATTCTGCTCAATACGTCGTGGTTTGATTACATCATCGTACCTTGCACAACATTGATTGAGAGCCAGTTGACCGTTTCATCTGGAAATCGCGTTCACGAACGCAAGGCAGCATTGCAACAATGACGAAAGCAGATGGCTCCAGCATCTTCCTAACCACAAGCAGCGCGGCATGTTTTCTGACGAAAATATGACACACAAACCACAACTGAAAAAGACTAACAGGTGCACGTACCATTAATCTTACCCAGCGGCATCAAATGATCAGCCTCACATTGGCAAAGGATCTGGCGCCATAATGACCTCGCACCTGTGGGCGTGCCGAGGGTGGAGACGCGGGCGACGGAGATCCAGCCGCGCTGCCAGCTGCTGGCCCAGGTGCCCGAGTGCGATCTCAGGTCCCTGCGCCCGGCTCGTGTCTTTTTGCGCTCCTCCAGACGGAGCTAATCTCACTCAGTCGGGGACACTGTCGGACGAGGCGGAGTCCGATCGATCCGAGCTTCTCTGGAAGTGACATCCAGTCCGGCTCAATCGCACTGTATGGGGCCGGGCGCTGAGAGGCTGCCGGCCGTACAGTTCTGGGGGCTGCCGACTGCAGTTTTCTGTGCAGTTGGAGGGAACCAGTCCAGCACCCCCCCCCCCCCCCCCTCCTAGCTTCGAGAGAAAAGTGGGCCAAATCCGGAAAGGGACCGATGTAATGATGCAGTTTAAGGGTGTGTTGCGTCACGTTTGGCTGCTCAGTCCCCGAAACTAGCTTTTCAACATTGCGCCCCCGTTGGGGGCCTTGGGGTGCCTGCAGTACCGGAGGCTTGCGGGTGTTTGCAGTCCCGGGGGCTGGCGGGTGTCTCCAGTCCTGGAGGCTCGCTGGTATCTGCAGTACCGGACGCTCGCTGGTGTTTGCAGTCCCGGAGACTCGCGCGTGTTTTCCGAGCACGAATCTGCGCCCTCTGGTGGCACCATGAACCAGCTCGCTCCTCCCGCCGCGAGAGCAGGCGACAGCAAACGCCAGTGCGCCGACACCGTGCCACACGCATCACCAGCATCTGGCTACGTCGGGCTGGAGCGAGGCTGTGGCGGCCGTGTCACAATACCAGTGGGATGCTGGTACATGTAGCACCGTGGCCGCCCTCTGAGCCCCGCTACCTCCTAAAGGCTCGCTCCCCACGGGCCTGGCGCCGCAGCGCAATGCTGCCAGCACCAGACATCACCTGCCGCGGGCCCCCGCGTTGCTTTATTTATACTCGACCCCTCATTTTTTCTGTGGGTTTATTTTTGGTCTGTCCGGTGGGAACTTCCTGGTGCAGAATGCCCGCGAATGCCCACTCAGTGGTATCCACCCGTTGCTGGATTGCTTATCCGGCCACAAAAACCAGGAATCAAATATTCCATTACAGCCAACGCGCATTGGAACTCAATATATCGACGAAGTGCAGGCCATTATTGAGTACCCTCTTGATAGTAGGGCTCAGCGATCTGGCGCAATGGTATTCGCAGGAACGTGTCGGATTTCAATTGCTTAATCGCAGGTTGACACTAAAGGCATCGATTGGATTACACATTTTTTAATCGAATTAGGGAATCGGTAGAAATGGCATCGATTATAATGCCTTCAGGAGAGCCTGTAATGTTCATTCCTTGCCTGGTTACGATTCGCCACCATTCACCATTCGACTAGGCTGTCGCCCTCGTCTCATGTCATTGGGGCTTTACGACGCACTCAGCTGCTGAGGCTATATGGCGCCGCCTGCCTCTCACCCGGACAGGAAGGGCGTGTACCGTGGGGAATCAAACCACGTACCTCTGGTTTCCCAGACGCGCAGTGTACCAGCACTCCCCGTCGTCGCCTTGGTGACTATCAATCTTAGCGGACATCAGCGTGAATTGTAGATGTTCTCACCTAAGTCTGCATCATAATTACTTAACCAACGATCATTTCCTTTCTTTTCATTCGATTCGAGTGAAGAAATGCAGCCATGCGAGCTTTGACTGAGGCTAGTGGTTGCAATAGATATTATTTGATATTAAACACTTTGAAATTTTTAGAGTTCTATTTTTTGGACGGACAGCTGGCACACCGTTGTGCTCCGGATCGGACTTTGGACAAAACTCTTCGAAAGATGTCACTTTTAACTGCCACCACACTAACCAATACCACCCCGGAACTGCTGCAAAAAAGTGAAGGATTGTGACGAGCCACGAGGGGCTAGTTAAAGAGAAGACATCTTTCGCCACATGGAAATCCGGGATGGAATGTCTGAGTGCATGGCTGCAGGACTATTTCAGCCAACGCAGGACGCGACATCTAGATACGAAGATCACTAACCAGATGCGCTTTACTCCAGCAACATTCCGAGCTTTCCGCAGCGACACACCAAGGACGCGCGTCGCAGGGCCGCATCTACAGCATCACCCTTCGCGAACGTCCTGGGTCTCGCAACCGACACCGGCCACGGCGGACATGACGCCCGCGCCCTGCTCGGCCGTCCCCCAGGGCGTCTGCCCCCCGCCCGGCCGTGCCCCGGGGCGTCCGCTCCCTGCCCGCATGCGTCCTGGGGCGTGTGCTCCCTGCCTGACTTCCCCTGCCCGGCCGTGCCCTGGAGCGTCTGCCCCCTGCCCGACTGTCTCCTGGAGCGTCTGCCTCCCGCCCGTCCGTCCCCCGGGGTGTCTGCCCCCGCCCGTCCGTCCCCCGGGGCGTCTGCTCCCTGCCAGACTGTCTCCCGGGGCGTCTGCCCCCTGCTGGCCGTCTCCCGTAGCGCCTGCCCCCCGCCCGACCGTCTCGCGTGACGCTCCCTGCTCGGCCGCCCCCTGTCTGACTGCCCCCCCCCCCCGGGGCGCCTGCCCCCTGCTAAACTACCTCCCGGGGCGTCTACCCCACCAGATAGTCTCCCCGGGTGTCTGTCCCCCGCCCGACTGTCTCACGGAGCGTCCACTCCCTGCCCGACGGCCTCCTGCCTGGCCGTCCCCCGGGCGTCTGCCCCCTGCCGGACTGTCTCCGGGGCGTTTGCCCCCCCCCCGCCCGGCCGTCCCCCGGGGTGTCTGCCCCCTGCCAGACTGCCTCCCGGGGTGTCTGCTCCCTGCCCGACTGCCTCCTGGGGCGTCTGCTCCCTGCCTGACTTCCCCTGCCCGGCCGTGCCCCTGGAGCGTCTGCCCCCTGCCCGACTGTCTCCTGGAGCGTCTGCCCCCCGCCCGGCCGTCCCCCCGGGTGTCTGCTCCCTGCCCGGCCGTCCCCCGGGGTGTCTGCCCCCCGCCCGGCCGTCCCCCGGGGCGTCTGCCCCCTGCCGGACTGTCTCCTGGAGCGTCTGCCCCCCCCCGCCCGGCCGTCCCCCCGGGTCTGCCCCCTGCCAGACTGTCCCCCGGGGTGTCTGCCCCCTGCCGGACTGTCTCCCGGGGTCTGCTCCCTGCCCGACCGTCCCCCGGGGCGTCTGCCCCCCCGCCCCGGCCGTCCCCCGGGGTCTGGTGCCCCCCTGCCAGACTGTCTCCCGTTGTGTCTGCCCCCTGCCAGACTGTCTCCGGGGTGTCTGCCCCCTGCCAGACTGTCTCCCGGGGTGTCTGCCCCCTGCCAGACTGTCTCCCGGGGTGTCTGCCCCCTGCCAGACTGTCTCCCGGGGTGTCTGCCCCCTGCCAGACCGTCCCCCGGGGTGTCTGCCCCCTGCCAGACTGTCTCCCGGGGTGTCTGCTCCCTGCCCGGCCGTCCCCCGGGGTGTCTGCCCCCTGCCCGGCCGTCCCCCGGGGTGTCTGCCCCCTGCCAGACTGTCCCCCGGGGTGTCTGCCCCCTGCCAGGCCGTCCCCCGGGGTGTCTGCCCCCTGCCAGACTGTCCCCCGGGGTGTCTGCCCCCTGCCCGGCCGTCCCCCGGGGTGTCTTCCCCCTGCCGGACTGTCTCCCGGGGTGTCTGCCCCCTGCCGGACTGTCCCCCGGGGTGTCTGCCCCCTGCCCGGCCGTCCCCCGGGGTGTCTGCCCCCCCCCGTCCCCCTGTCTGCCCCCTGCCGGACTGTCCCCCGGGGTGTCTGCCCCCTGCCGGCCGTCCCCCGGGGTGTCTGCCCCCTGCCAGACTGTCCCCGGGGTGTCTGCCCCCTGCCCGGCCGTCCCCCGGGTGTCTGCCCCCCGCCAGACTGTCCCCCGGGGTGTCTGCCCCCTGCCCGGCCGTCCCCCGGGGTGTCTGCCCCCTGCCAGACTGTCCCCCGTCTGCCCCCTGCCCGGCCTCCCCCGGGTGTCTTCCCCCTGCCGGACTGTCTCCCGGGGTGTCTGCCCCCTGCTCTGTCCCCCGGGGTGTCTGCCCCCTGCCGGCCGTCCCCCCCGTGTCTGCCCCCTGCCAGACTGTCTCCCGGGGTGTCTGCTCCCTGCCCGGCCGTCTCCCGGGGTGTCTGCCCCCTGCCCGACCGTCCCCGGGGCCGGAAGCGTAGCCGCCTCCGAGCTGCAAACGATCGGCGACGCACCGGCCGCGCCTCTGCATAAAACAGCGGACGCCCGGGCGCAAACACAGCGCCCAGTACGCCCGGCGACAGGCGGGACGGGCGGACGCAGGCGCGCAGCTCCGGCCAGGTCTGCACGGCCCCGTCGCCGCCGACGGCTGCGGTACGAACGCGGCGGCCACGGCGCGTGGAACATTGCACGCGAATTCGCGGCAACAGCAAAGAAGCAGACTCTTCTACGAATGACACAGTTGTTTGCCTGAGCAGGATCCGTTTGCAGGCGCTGGTCACTAAAGGTCAGCTTCGTTGTCGCACTGTATTGCGCCGGAAATGCTCGACGCTGCTGCGGTGCGCAGGACACGACCGCAGCCGCCGGGTCCCGGAGACAGACCCACTGCGCCGCACGGCACGACAACAGTCACGAACCTGGCGCCGCGTCACGACACGGGACAAGCGATCGTCACCAGGTCCCACAGAGTGCGATTGTCAGCAGCGGACCACACTGGGCGAGACCGCCAGCGGCGGATAACACGGCACATGGGTTCCAGAATAGGATCACACAGGACACGGCGGCCGCCGGATCACTCGGCGTGCGGCCGCCAGCGCTGGATCACACAGCGTCGTCCGCCGGGCCCTCCGAGCTGCCGACTCCCTGAGACAACGTGAGCAGTACGGCAGCGACGCCCGGCGCCGTCTCCGACTGCAGCCGGGCCCGGAGGCGCGCTCATCACCGCATCCGTGCCCTCGGGGCAGGGCCAGGGGCGCCCCCGGTCACCGCTCCGAGGAGCCGTCCTTGGAGCCGTACATCTGGTACAGGTGCTTGCACAGCTGATGGATGGGCAGGCCGACGACGTTGTAGTAGTCGCCGTCGATTCCCGACACCAGGGTGCCGCCGAGCCCCTGTATGCCGTAGCCGCCAGCCTTGTCCCTGGAAATGGGTACCAAAATGGAATCACAATTAGGGCGATCCTGGAGCACGCCATTAATATAAGCATATAGGATGCTTCTAAAGTTTTGAGCGTTGGAGAATTTCTCCACACATTTCAGATTGAGAAACATTTCTTGCTTTCAAACGAATCAGGCCGGCTCACCATGCATGCCAATATTGTAATTTCAGACCAAGTACATTTTGCGGTTCATTAGAGACCACCTGAGTTACCATTTGTGAGCAGTAAACGGCTGCATCAGCGGGCTGACTGTTCCTGAGCATTAGTGTGATGCCAAAACTTGCATTACAGGTCCAAAGAAAACAACACATCTGTATTCCCTGGTGCACACGGCATCAATTTTAGCTCGAGCACGGGGCGTGTTTAAATGGTTTGGAATGCTCCTTTCAGAGTCCTCAGCGCGATGTAAAAAGCCATTGGATTCTTAATGTGACTAAATTTTGAAGGGCTTAGGCAATTATTGTTTCTTTTTGAAGCGGATGGACACGACAACCCTTTCACAATGACAGGCGCGGGCAGGAATGCACAGATACAGACACGTGCAAAGGCAGAGACCCCGAACACACGCATAGTTGGGGCTACGAAAGCCACTGGCCGCCCTCGGGGCTTGTTTGTCAACTTTTGAAAGGTTGTTAACAAGACCGCACTACTACGAATTTGTGACGAACAACAGCAGCTGGGCCCACGCCCACCCGGGAGATCAGCGCCACACTCAGCGAGCAAAGCAGCTCTCAGAGTTAAGCCATAGAAACTCTGAACTTCTAATAGCTTTAAAAAGTCAGAGGAGTTCTGATACGAACGGCTCAATCACACTCCATAGGTGTTCTTGAAAAGCATTGGCCAAACCTCGGAATCCAATGTTCACCACCAAGCACAATTTACGACAAGACCCCGACTACTTCCTGGCTGTTTACACGCGTACCTAATCTCAGCGCAGCCTCTCCCGTAGTCGACATCACCTCCCAAACAAGTTAACGCGCACACACACACACCGGCTCGCCGTCCTCCACAAGTAATTACCGGACCGGGGCGGGACTGGTCTCGGGCAGCGGGCCCCATCCGTCCCCAGGGCACCAACGCAGCGAGCGAGCGACGGCGCCGCGCCGGCGGCCGGCTGGCGCGCGCGCGCGGACCGGCCGGGCGGCGAGGCGCGCCGCCGCTCCTAATCAGTCCGTCCCGACCACAGACCGAGCGCCGCGGGGAGCGCTCCCCCGCCACCGCGACGCGTCGCCATGGCGACGCCGACTCACATGGGCTCGCCGGTGTCCACGTAGCCGTGGACAATGTCGGGCGGCAGCGTGTCGAGCGTGACAGCCGTCACCTCCGAGAAACGCTCGGTGGTCCAGCGCCGGTGTTCCAGCCGCCGCAGCACCGCCACGCCCGTGTACACGTGGTGCGTGCGCCCGCTGAACCTGCCGCCAGTGCCACCGTGCAGTCAGATGGTCGGCGCGGGTGAGCAGCCGTGGCGCGAATACCATCAGACGCCTTCCGACGCACACGACCATTACTCAACGATGGTGAAAGACAGCGACTGTCAATCCGTTCCACTCAGACGCAGTGGCATACAGGGCCAGAGTTGTAGTGATGCTGGTCACCTTGGTGTGATAACTGCATTAGGTCTGGTGAGATAAACTGGACGCGCGACAGACAGACCGCCAGGGTCTGATATGAGATCAGCCAGGCACTGAATCTATCTGGCACTTCTTATCTATCTAAAGGCACTGATTGTATCGACAGCCCCAGAGACCTGTGGCGCCTTCAACAAATGTAATGTTGTTAAATGGAGAGCTTGTCATTGCTGGAGAGAGCGGCAATGCAATAAGCCTGCACTGAAACTTCCTGCGTCACAAACTGCCGTAACTGCCTTACGCAACACATTACTCATCGATCGTCCCAAACTATCGAAAAATGAAAGCGATTACCCCAACGTGCACCGCATTGAGAAGCTCACTGCTCTACAGATTCTCGGAACTGCTGAAGCACGCCAAACTAGCTCACTGCTATGGGGCCGCGCATCGCCGTGTGCTATCCCGCATCGGGACCAATCAGGAAGGTAAGCTCGGGCAAACGTCGCTCGAGCTCCCAGGTGCTCCCGAGCTCGAGCTCCCGGGAAGCTCCGAGCTTCCCCGCCCTCCGCCCACCAGGCGGAGGGCGGGGAAGGGGGGAGGGGGGAGGGGCAGCCGGGTCCTAACGTCGCTAGCAACAGCAGCGACGTCAGCACACGGAAGATTGCGCACCCTCGCCAGCATCGGGTGTCACAATCCCCCGAACCCAAGAGGGTTCCCCAACCCACACCACCATCCGCTGTTCTCAACTGGTAGCCGGACCCAAGGGGCTGGGCGTCCCAGCACCGTATCATCACCGGATCCCAGTTGGTCGTCAGGTTCCAAGAGGTGCGCTCGAACCCAAACCATCGGTAACGTCAGGGTTCCTGCTCCGACTGTTGGATTAGCGCTCTCGGTCACGACTGTGATGAAATGTAGGCAGGATAGATTTAGTCAAAATGGAAACTATCACATGACAAAACATCGATGCGGTAATGCATCGAGAGCGAATTGGCAGGGAAGATCACCGACTGACAAAATACAGACAAGGGGAAGCATCCAACTGAAAAAAGTATCACACCGCCAAATTCTGAACTCCAAACAGCGGCGAGGTCTAATACAGGGCTGGCAAAAACATAATACCAAAATACAAAATACAGAGGTGAAGCGAAGGTCTGAAGGATTACTTCAGACCTCAGTATCTCTGGCGGACCACCAGAGCTATGTTTTGAAATTCACACGAAAGTGTCTGATGTAAACCCTGGACTGATTTTTTGGCCTAACGTTGTCGCACTACTGACTCT